CTTAGTCTTTCTAAGACTAAGATTGTGTGCTTTAATAATAATAATAATAATTGCTTACACTTATATAGTGCTTCTCTGGACACTCCACTCAAAGCGCTTTACAGGTAATGGGAACTCCCCTCCACCACCAATGTGCAGCCCTACCTGGATGATGGGATGGCAGCCATAGTGCGCCAGGACCTCAGTTTTATGTCTCATCTGCAGGACAGCACCTGTTTACAGTATAGTGTCCCTGTCACTATACTGGGGTATAAGGACCCACATGGATTGCAGGGTGAGCGCCCCCTGCTGGCCCCACTAACACCTCTTCCAGCAGCAACCTTAGTTTTTCCCAGGAGGTCCCCCATCCAGGTACTGACTAGGCTCATACCTGCTTAACTTCAGTGGGTTGCCCATTATGAGTTGCAGAGTGATATGGGTGCTGGCCATATTAGATTTGCCTTACTTTAGATTGTGAGTGCGTTCTCTCAACCATTGCCCCATTATAATGGAATGCCCTTCCTCAGACTCTGACTCTCTTCAAATCCAAACTCAAAACTTATCTCTTTACTAGGGCTTTCGGTACAATATCTGCTTGACCTAAATTCTATCTGTATGAACCCCTATATTCTTGTTTATATTTTCTTTCTTTTACTTCTTGGGTACTTATTTGTCTTTTTCTTTGTCACTATGCACAATGTCCTTAGGTTTGAAAAAGCACTTTATAAATTAAAATTGTTATTATTTTTCGCAGCTGGCACAGTTCATGTTCATTTTCATACTGTACATGACCAAATAATGGGCATTACATTTAATTTCATGATGACCTCACCTGTTCACCAACTTTTCACAACCCATTAAAGAACAGTTGCACAGAAACAAGTATCATTTAATTCCATTGAAAAATTAAAAATAATACACAGAAATATGTAATTTCGCCCTTTTAATTTCATAGTGTTAAAGTGTGGACAAAGATGTTGTTAATATGTGTTGAAGACCGGATTTACTGAACAGTAATAGTGGATATACTATTTGAAAAAAAGGTAAGTACCATCCATTACTCTGCAATGTCTTATTTAGTGTTCCCATCACTGTGTGGAAAATGAGAATTTACAGGGGAAAACTGAACACAATTCTGATGCCACCTCATTGGCATTGAATTAATAAGCTCCATATACTGTACAGTATGTAAAATATGGTGCTAAGCACTGATAATGACTAATAATATAACCATAAGGTATTTTTTTAGCTGACAAATTGTTAAGTGAATCTGAAACTCAGTATTAATGACTTCCAAACCCTAGTGCTTTAGGTGAGTAAAACTCTGAATGTCACATGCTTCTACGAAGTAAAGACCTATCAAGAGATGCCTCCTGCTTGCTCACTCTGTGAATCAATCATTTCTTGACAAACTGGGGCTGATGACAACAAGCATTTGCCTCAGCAGGGAAGTGTTACATCACAAGTCCCACATTGGTCTAGAAGCACACCACCCTTTGATCTTAGTATTAACCTTTCTTCAACAACATCATGCCCTGCTGAATGTTAGTACAGGTACACTATCCTTGTGGAATATGAAGTTGCAGCTCCTTCCAAAGCTGTACAAGATCTGTTCATGCTGCAAGGTTTCAGTGCTTACTACAGCAGCTGTTCTTGCTTTAAGTTAAGCCGTTGTTAGAGCTAGAGCACTGTGGAGTCAGCAAGTGTTACAACAGCAGTCGGCCACGCCTGTCACGACCGTCTTCCCTCCTCTAGAGGGCACTCCTACCCTTTTGTATTCCCTTTAGTTTAAGTTCCTAGTGTACACCTGTGTCTTGTTACCTTTTTTATTATTTAAGCCTGGTGTCTCCGCTGTTCTGGGCTCAGTATTAGAAGACGGATGTCTGAAGGCCTGCCTATCCCCTGGGCTCAGGAGAAGCCCGAGGGCAAGGCCTTTTCCCCAGGCATCCTGACCATCTGAGTCCGAGGCTCGGAGCGCCTTACTCAGTTATGGTTTTACCTTCCATGTTCCTGGATCCCTTTTTCCTGTGTTCATCTGGATGAATCTCCTGGTACCTGGACCTTGGACTGTGCAATGATTCCCCTTCTTGGAATTCCCTCTGGACTAGATTGCTACGCCCCCCCGAGCACCGGATCACTGCCGTCACCGTCCCCTGATCATCCTCCCATCCATTCCTTGCCATGTCTTCCCTTTTGTCCTTCTCCAGCCACTTCCGGATTATACTATCCGTATAGGGTCTTTACTACACATTTCACGGGAGTCAGGACCGGCTCACGTGACAACGCCTCTATTCACCTATTCATTTAGGGTCGGTTGCCATGGTTACATAATCAGACAGAAAGGCTGGTTTACCTGTTGGCAATTCCAACCTCCCCATCTCAGGTGAAACAGGCTACTTAAGGTCTGACAATGCTCTGTCATAGTGTTTAATCAGAGCCTCTCAAATTCTAAAGTTTTTCTTAATTTCTAATTCTGTTTTTTGCTTTGCTTGGATTATCAACCCTGCTTTGTTTTGCCCTTGTCTCCCATTATTTCCTTGTACAACTGAACTGAAATTACCTCTGCTACAAACCTTGCTTGCTTGCCTTAAACCTGCCTTTTGGATTTACCTTTTGTACTTTCACTCCGTGTTACCTGGCTTCAAACCCTGATTGCTACGACTATGAACCTGGACTGTTTTGTCTGTTTTTCCTGTTTTCTGTACTGTACTTGTCTACTGGTTTCCCCTTGAGTTTCCCTCACCTGCTGCTGGGTTCATCTCATGCAGCTTTTTAACTATCACTGAACCGCAGAAACTAAACTCTAGGTTGTCAAGCAGACGGGAGGTTTGCTCCTGAGTGAGATCCATGTGTTAACAGAGCAACACTCCCAAGTTTCTGATGGAAAGTGCCCTCCCTTCTTTTTTTTCTTAATATGTTGTGAATTCATAAAAAATGCATTTATATGGGATTTATTTTGTCATTGATCTATACAAATTACTTTACTTTGACATAATACAATATAATGTCAAAACACTGTGAGGCCCTTTATACCCCCTTTATATATTTGATATTATAATGCCAAAGTAGAACAAAAGTTCTGGATTTCTTTTGCATGTAATTTAAAAGAATACAGTGAAGTGACTTGATTTGATGTATTTGCCCCTTTGTTATGACACTCAATATTGAGACCAGATACATCTAATTTCTCTACGAGATCACTCTAACACATACTGCACAGTATGTTCTGGTACAGGCGGCCCAATATTAGATATAGTGGTTAGAAAATGGATGGATCGATCACTCTAACACGTGAATGGGGTGCACCTGTGATCAGTTCAATTTAGTAACATACTTTCAGAAAAAAACACCTGTCTGTATAATATTCCTTAGTTCACAGTGCCTGTATGAGTGGAAACCCTACTTTGAAAACCACGGAGCTGTCTGTACAACTCTGTGATGTAATTGAGCCAGTAGCCATAATCACTCTGCAACTCACAACTGGCAACCCACTGAAGCTAAACAGTTGTGAGCCTGGCTAGTACCTGGATGGGAGACCTCCTGGGAAAAACTAAGGTTGCTGCTGGAAGAGGTGTTAGTGAAGCCAGCAGGGAGCACTCAGCCTGCAGTCTATGTGGGTCCTAATGCTCCACTATAGTGACGGGGAGACTATACTGTTAAAAGGCGCCATCCTTCAGATGAGATGTAAAACTGGGTCCTGCCTTTCTGTGGTCATTAAAAATCCCAGGGTGTTTCTCAAAAAGAGTAGAAGTGTAACCTGGCCAAATTTCCCATTGGCCCTTACCAATCATGGCCTCCCAATAATCCCCATCTATGAATTGCTTTCATCATTCTGAATAATAATAATTGTGAAGAGGCATAGATCTGGGAAGAGGTAAAGAAACATATCTAGGGTGATGAAAATTCCCAGCACCACAGTCAGGTCGGCTGTTAGGAAAAGGGAAGAATTAAGAACCACCCAGTCTCTTTCTAGAGCAGGCCATTCTCCCAAACTGAGCAGCCAGACAAGAAGGACCTTGGTCAGAGAAGTCACAAAGAACTCAATGACCACCCTCACAGAAAGAACCTGTCCAAGGACATCTATAGAGCATTTCTGTTTAGATTACTGATGGTTTAATACTATAACATGCAAGGCCTCTTATCCATTACTCAGAGCAGTTAATGCTTTAAATACTTAATTGGAAGGGAAAGACAGAGTGGACAAAGACTAATTTTGTTTCACTTTTCATTCTATAGTCCCACACAGTATGTGTAATTAGTCATATTTTGTGATATAAAGGGTCTCACAGTGTTTTCGGTGTGGTTGAGTATTGGTAGCAGTGTGGGGCATCTGACTCTTCTTGTTGTAAATTTATTGAAAGCTCTGCAATGAAACCTCCTGGACTGTATGGTTTCACCATTGTGAATTTTAATGTATTTAAAGCAGTGGACCCACTTACTGCCAGGTTGTTGACTTGTATTAACATTCTCTTCATGTATTGTGGATTATAAGGTGTGTATACAGAAATGTTCACTCCCCTGTACTGAAGTATTACCCACCTTTTTCACTACTGTGAATGTGTGTATTGTTTAACAAGACGTCTCAGCACCATGGTTTATATTCTGATCTCTTTTTATCTAACTTTCATAGCTTGAAAAATTAGATGGAAATATGGCAATTCGTCGGACCTGAAGCCTATGGGACAAGCAGATTTTCAGTCAGAATAAAATTCTTGTAAAGTACCAGTTAATTCACAGAGGTATTCACATGTATGTGATCAAAAGAGACTATAAACCTTCAGGAACATCAGTTCTTGTCAGTTCATAAAGTCAGTCAGCCCCTTTTTGAATAAGATTTAGTAGTTTACAAAAAACATATGTATACTTTATACAGTATATGTATGTATTTATAGTATTCTTAAAATCTCAAATTATTCTTTACACTGTAAGTAATGATTGTTGATGCATAAAAAAATTACATATGTCTCTTATAAACTAACTAGACCAATTCTCCACTAATTGGCATTTTCTCTTTAAAACAGTACACAAAGAATCATCCTTTCCTGTCTTGAAAAATTCTGATTCCAGTTTGGTTGTGAAACACATATCAGCTGAGGACCAATATTGAATGATGATTGGTAAGTGTTAGGGTGTGTTGTTTATCACCCTCTTTTGTCCCTCCCTTCCAGATAGGCTTCTGGCTACATGGCTACGACAGTATGCAGATGGGTAGTATTTTATGATGATTGGCTAGTATTGGGGTGTGCATTTACAGGTATGGTCCATACCATAGAACTGTCAAATTTGAACTGTGTTAATTGATGAGAGCCAAGGAAAAAATGTGAAGATAGCTGCCAATGTTCTATTACAATTTCCAGGTCTGGGTCCACACTGACACATCCGCCATGACTGTGTGGACACTGGACAAGCTCCTCAGCAACCATCCTGTGACAACAGCTACTGCTGGGCTAATTAATAAGAAAGCAGGAGCTCCCTGATCTGCCATAGAAGAGATCAAGGAAGAGGGGTTTTCTTGTAAAGCCTTTGCAGACCTGGAAGTGGGCATGTTTTCTTTTTAAGGAACAAGTAATAAGTTTATTCTATGCTGAAAAAAAGAAAGAAAACAACGTTTCGGCCGTGGTGTCACCTGAGAAGGCTCTATGGCCGAAACGTTGTGTTTTCTTTCTTTTTTTCAGCATGGAATAAACCTATTACTTGTTCCTTTGCAACCTACGCATGCTGACGCAGCTACCAACCTGAACTATGTTTTCCTTTTGTTATTTTTATTTTTGTTCCCTAGGACAAGCTACTGCGGCATAACAGACTTCACCGGAGTAGAGTGAGGGTCCAACAGGGTTTTGGCTCTAATAAGCCTGTTGCTGATATTAAAGAGTATTTGTGTTTTTATAGTATTTTGTGCACCATTAAACCCCTGTGTGTTTTCCCATACCACACCTCCTGTTTCCTCCAGCTTTTACCGCATCGCAGAGGGTCTATTACAAAACCCAACACGGATTACGGATCTTGTCCGTAACACATCCTCTTTCACTGCCATCTTTTGGTGTGCTCTGTTATTAGAAACATCCACCAAAATGCAGACATGGTGTATGAGTGTGTTGCCTTATTTTATCCCAAAATATTTACACTGCTTGGCATCCTACAGTATCTATGGCCTCAGTCTTGCTCTGCATTGCTTCATGTGCATATTTCCTCTTACATGAGCATTGTTAATAATATTTTCTGCTGTGTGCTTGCAGTGTTACCCTATTACTTGTGGCTGAAAAGCATCCGAGTGACGTAAAAAGCAAGCCAATTCTACAAATTCAGATATGTGAGATTCTACGTTACATATTTTTTGCACTTGTAAATGTCTTTATTATTAAAGTATTACACTAGATAACAGATTTATTGTATAGAATATATTCAATGTTGTAAATTGTATTTGCAGTCCCTAATGTAATGTGTTATGTTTTGTTGTTTTAGTATAACCCATTGTATACATAAAAGTACAGAATCAGCATGGTTTCCAAAAATTGTATCAGCATATGCTAACAGACAAATGGGCAAGGAGAAAATATAAATTATTGTATGAATGGGACAAGGCATGTGTGATAAATTTTTAAAATTCATTTAATATCGGTACACTTAATAAGTGACCATTTCTAACCTATATAATTCATTAAAAAGGTCCACATCTCTAGGAGTGGGGATATTAATAATATATTTTTAAAGGTGTGGGGGGGTATTTTTGGATCTCTTACTTTAATAAAATGGATTGAACATGTAATTTGATTTCAAGCATTTCTTCTAAAAAATTGAAGCTGACATTCAAGCTTTATACCTTCATTGTAAAACAAATGGTCTTTTCCTGATATGAAGATAATTATTTGAATGCATGTTGGTTGATATAGTTTACAAATGGAAGGTTACTAAAATGGTAAATAACAGGAATTGTCTAAATGGCTTAGTCAATAACAAAGTTGTAAGAATGTTGTTAGGATTTTTCCAAGAATATACACAAGCAGCTGGTACTGTATATTGTACTTGGAGGCAAGTTAATTCTTTGTTCTCTGGCAGAGCTTTTGTAAAAATAATAATAATTCAGGCACACCTGATTAAACAAATATTTATTAACAATGACAGTGACACACACTACACTACATCACACATACATATATAACACACAAATTTCACTATGTATACAGTATGACAAGGTGTTTCAGAGGCCTGCGTCTAGAAAACCCAGAAACCCTAGACTGCTACCAAGTATTAGACTCTTAAACAATGGCTACAAAGGCCAGGATAATAGATAAGCTTCCTTCTAAACTAAATACAATACAACCTGCAGTTAAATCTCTCTGCAAACCTGGATGCCACAAAATAAATGTGAGCCTAACTCCCTATTCTAAAAATGCACCCACAAAACAGGAAGGGCCATTTTTAACCAAGAAATTCTTTATTCAGGAAATCCAAGTTTCCTAAAAACACAGAGTAGCAAACTCTCTTTAGCACGGTTTAAACATTTAGCTCCAATCGATTTTTTTCGGATGATCATGAAGTAGAGACTCTCGCCCGGCACAAGTTCAAGTTCCGTCTGCTCCCGTCTCCTCTCTCTCTCGTGGTCTGCCTCTTTTTTTTTTCTTCTTTCCCTCCTTTCTTTCTTGATCTGATCTTCTACGGTGTCTTTCTGGACTGTTGATTGACACTTCATCCCAGACCAGACTGAAACTCAGAACTTAATTAATAAAGGCAGGTAAACTTTGAGATTATTTTGATCACAGACTCTGGACCTCCTACATCTCAGCAAACATCCCCTCTGCTTTGAAACTGGAGATGTTTATACTGCCAGGCGTTACATGCTTCATCTACACCTCAATTGGCACCTTTCTCATCCTGTAACAATATATATTCATTTATTTCCCCTTATCATAATAACAAACTGATATATATTTTTGGAAGATGGACGTCTGAAGGCCAGCCTATCCCCCGGGCTCAGGAGCAGCCCGAGGGCAAGGCCTGATCTCCAGACGTCCTGACCTCTGAGTCCGGGGCTTGGAGTGCCCAGTTCCGTTATGTTTTTATCTTCTGTGTTCCCAATCCTAGTTCCTGTTCTAGTTCTATCTGTCTTTGCCTAGGATGGACCTCCCAGCGTTGGGCATTGGACTGCACCCGAACTGCCCCATTGGACCTCCCTTGGATTTGTTGCCTGCTCCCTTTCCCCGTGCACCGGACCACCACTGTCACTGACCCCCGTCTGTCGACCCGGCCTTTTTCTGATGTGCTTCTCCAGACACTTCCGGATTTTACCGTCACGCATAGGGTCTTTAAAAACACACTTTACGGGAGCCAGTTCTGACTGTCCTTATGAAGAGTTGCTTATGCCGAAATGTTGACAAGTTATAAGAAAAAATATTTTGGAGTAGAGAAAGTGTGCATCCTGTTCATTTTATATTAAAGCATTGCACAGTATCTTTGAAGTCACACCCTCCAGCCCATCCAGCTCACCTTAAAGTTCCAAAAATAAAATGACAAGATTCTGTATTACACTCTTCAGCAAGAAACAAAAAGAGCAGAGGCAAGAAATTGGTACAAAGAACCAGAAAACAACTGAAAATTGTTGAAGCTGTTAATGGACAGAATCTTTTCTTTTCATAACCTATGGAATAGGCAGAACGCCAACTTGTGCGGGATCTTAAAAATGAGCATTTGAAATGTGCGATTAAATATAAATCAAGGAAGAATAATTGTTGCCACATAATCTTCGGTTTTCTTCTGTTTTCTAATCTTCTTATACCTCAGCTAAAAAAACAGATACCTTTTTCCTTAAACAGAAATAAATTGAATACTATTGTTTTTCTTGAAAGAAAGGCCTCATATAGATCGTAATCTAATTTATTTTTTGAGCTGATTCAGAAAAAAAAATCAAATATCAAATTTCAGACTGGGGTAAAGTTTATACTGTATAAAAATGACCCAAATATCAGACAAAATGTGCTCAGAAGAAACAATGTTGACAAACATACTCATGACATTTATTAAATGAACCTCACATTAAAATGTAAACAATTTCAAACCTACAGAAACACCTAACAATATGTTTATCAAAACCCTCTGAAGCTGTTTGTACAAGTTGTCCCGTTGAGCACCAAAGACAAATCAAAACCCATCCTTGTCAGTTTCAAGTGCTATGACACATGGGTTTTTTCAAGTCATTATTTAAATACAGAAAAGATACAAATCTCCATAACTAGATATAAACCCCAATCATTTCCATCAGCACATCAATAGGGTTGTCAAATTTGAAATAACTGTTTGATTTAAAAAAAAAACATTTCCATGTTATGTACTTCCTTTTCTTGATGGAATCCAATAATTATTACTTTATAAATGCAACTCCTGTCTGACCTTTCTCGCCACAGATTTAATTCTGTCTATTTTTTCATCCCAATTTTACTTTTTTCTTTTTTAAAGGGAAAGATCAGAACCTTTCCTCTTCCCCTGAATTTACATCTTTCTCTCATTTCTCCTGATTTCTTACCTAGAGAATTCTAATGAAGAGGAGTGAATAAGATCTATTGGGAAAGAAGAGGACCTCAAGACAGGAGAAAAGGGAGTCATTGATGGCATGAAATTACCATAAAAGTACAATCAGGTTCATATTTTAAAGTGAATGTTTAAGTACCCTAAGAGATGGGCTTTGATTTGTAGCCTGATCAATCCCAGGACGTCTCATTGAGAGTAATAATTTTTTACTTAATTTTGGCTTGTTTTTTTTTTCTTGTCTCTGTGCTTACAACTGTTTCTCTTCTTGTTTTATTTCAGGACACCAGTCTTACTTTTTGCTGGAGAAAAATCTGCACTCCTTTAGATCTTGAAAAAGCAAATAAATACATGGGAATTGCTCTAATTATAGGTTATATATTTTTTCTTTAAAAATATAAACTATACTGTTCTTTCAAAACAACGAACAACCCCACACCCATAATCATTGTAATTTTTAATACTAGTTTGGTGCTCTCTGCACATATGTGGCAAAAATGTATCCTTTAAAAAATACATCTGTATTCTGACAATGGTTCTTGAACAGATCCTTGTGGTACTCCATTACTCCAATATGAGCATTCGCTTTTTATATGTACTCTGTGAGTTTTATTTATTAACCAATTCTCCAAAATCCAAACACTAACATTTCCCTAAAACCATACTGCCTGTAAATTTTATATTAAATCTTTTATGCAGAACGTTATCAAAGCCTTCTTAAAATGAAAATGCACCACATCATACGCTTTTGTGAATTCATTACTTTTGTTGCTTGTTTGTTTTGCTTTTCTCAATCCATGCTGACTACTTCTTGATTTCTACAAACAGTGCCTTGTAAAAGTATTCAGACCCTTCCTACGATGTCCCATTTTGTGAAACTAAAAAGTGATGCCTGCACATTTTTAAAATGTATCCAAAAGTTGGATGCTCAAAATAAAGACTTAAGATTAAAATGATTTACAGTAAATGCCAGCAAAAACTAAGGAGAAAAGATCAAATATGTTATTTGCTTAAGTATTCAGATCAATGTACCCAGAATTAGGTGGAATCAAGTTTAGCAACAATAACAGACAAGTCTTTTTAGATCAGTCTCCACCAATTTTGCACATCACCTTTTATATCCACTGCTGAAGGTGGAATTAGGCAGTGGTCTGATTCGTAAGGTGAACCCATGTGCAGAATGGATGGGGAAACAGGCAGAGCATGGTGCAGTCAAACATAGTCCCTGTCCTGAGGTAGGTACATTGTTCGCAGGAGATACAGGTTTCTCGTTAGAATGCATTTTCATGGTAACTGGCACTGAGTGACATTCACTCTCTTATTTTTCAGTATTGCTTTGGCGCTGTGGTTTGAATGGTACATTTTCCCATCAGTTTTAAGTCTTCAGCAGACTAAAACGTGATCCTCTCGTATTTCTCTGTACTTTGCTCTGTACCATTATCCTTCAACCCTAACAAGCTGTCCAGTCCATGCTGAGGAGATACTTTTACCAAATGTGTAGATACTAAACAATCCTAAGAAAAAGTTTTATGTTTGCCAAAGTACTGTACATCTGGATGCTTCACTACAGTGCAATATGGATGGGTTGTCATCATTGAAGGAACCATAAATTCAGCATTTGATCAGCAAATTCTGGAATAGTGTGTCAGGTTATCCATTTATCAGTTGAAGCTGAGACAAGCATTAGAACAATGATTCCAAACATACAAGCAGATATAAAACCAAATGGCTGAAGAACAGATTCACATTTTGGACTGATCGGTCTAGACCTAATCGTCATGGAAATATTATGACAGGACCAGAAGTAAGCGTCTCATGCAAGGAACCCCTTAAATGTCAATTTGAAGCAGTTCTATAATGAAGGATGTGCCAAAAGCTTTTGCTAAAAGCCAATGCAAATGACTGATAAACAGTTACAAGAAGTATTTAGTTGAAGTCAGTGCTGTTGAAGGATGTGCCACTAGTTAATTTCACCCGGGACCCAGAATACTTGCTATTCTGCATTCCAGCTACTACTTTGTAAACAGTATGTAGAAAGCAGTGTTCTTATCTGGTGATCTTGATGATCTTGGTTACTTGGTGATCTTTGGATCAATACAGATTGTTATGTCCCAGTGTGTGGTCCATGTGTGTTTTTGTTGGTATGTTCCACACTCCTTGACTTTGATTGTTCTCCCTCCCCCATTGGTCCATC